GCTGTCTCACTGGCTGTGTGAGGCTATCACACAGGCTTACGTGTTAGCTGGGTGTGATCCCCTACCTGGCATCAGAGGCCACTCTACGAGGGCTTTTGCATCCTCCACTGCCCGCTTTTAAGGCATGATCGTGGAGGACATCCGCACGGCAGCCTTATGGGCCGTGTCTTTTGACCCTATTCTGTCTGGCGTAAAACATGTGCCAAATGTCAACATGCGAGTTGTCAGTGTGACCATTCACAGTGGCGACCCCTAAACGGGAAAAGCCGAATGTGAATGGTTACACTGTGAGACAACAGCTTCAGGACATTTTACATCTTATTACTGCACTGCAACTTTACCAGTTGTGATCTTCTTCACCTTTCTGCATTTGATTTTATTTTCATTTCATGTGTTTTATATCATTTTAATAATGTTTAATCTTTATTTTGCCTTAACAGTTTTTATTCTGGTTTTTAAAGCTTTTTTAAATGTCAAGCACTTTTGAATTACCTCTGTATGAAATGTGCCATGTAAATAAAGCTGCCTTGCTTACATAATGTTTCCCTTAGCCAAACTCTTTATCTCATTTGTTCCTTTTCTTTTGATCCATTCCATCCTCCTCTTTCTCACCCTGCTTCCCATCTCTCCTCTCTCTTTTTGCCAAAGTCTTCATATCAGGGCAGATCAGATGTTGGCCCCAAAAACACCTCCTGAGGAGGTCTCTTTTTCATATAATAGCCAAGGCCCTTATCAGACAATACTGTACACACACACACACATACACACACACACACACACACACACACACACACACACACACACACACACACACACACACAGATGGATATATTATCTGGGAAAGTAGCCTAGTTGGACCAAAACAAGAAACATTATTATAACAATGTGTTTGTGAGCACCCAGCTTTTAGTCTTCAGTAACAAGGGATTGGTATGAATTTGAATATTAAAAAACAGATTATCAGGGATATACAGGTGCCAGAAGTATTTTGTATTGTATTGCACTACATTCCTTCATAGAAGAAAAACACATTAAGAGGATCGACTCATCCAAACTAAAAAACTATTCTCTCATTCATTTATAAAGGTATCTATCAAAAAAGCCACACTGAAAAGTGACAACTTTTAATTTATTTTTTACATCTAAATAATTTACTCTTTTTAATGGTTCCACCTTCATTGAATTGTGGCTGTCTCTGAAAGCTCCAAGAGAGACAGTGTCTCAAAAACTGAGCATATAAAACCAAATCTGCCTGGCTAGATACAGTACAGTACCACTGAGGGTGCCATAAGTGAGAAACCGTGTTTTAGTTTATTTTGGAGACCTGAGTTTTTAAATCACCGTAAGAACTGAGTCATTTATATAACCGTGAATACTGTTAAGCATGTTCATCTCCTCCACAGCAATCTGCACTTAAAATGAAAAACAAAATAACTGAATAATCACAGCAAAGAGCAAGCACGAAAATACAAAGAAAGCAAAATGCTTGGGGTAGAGAGTTCTAATGCTAACAGCAAATGAGCAGAGTGCAAGTAAACCCTACAGCCTTGGTGGCTTTTAAGAGCTGTCCACAGGTGACTTCTATTAGTTTGCTCTGTGCATGTACGTCTAGAAACACAAGACTAGAATAAATAGGAACAGTGAAAATTTAGAAACATTCTGAACTTTTGCACAGTTTTTTGCTTTGCAAAACGGTTTTACAAAGAGTGTATTTTTACTTTGTCATTTGCTGTGAGACCAATACAACAAAGTTGTATTTTTAAGTAACACTGATCAGTTAATATAAAATAATTTTTGCATATTGCATGAAGAAGGTTGTAAAAGCTTATGGATTCAAAAGCTTTCCCAGTTTTGGCCTGGGTTGTTTCTAATGCAGCAGGGCATCACATTGTAATGAATGTCTTATAAAAGGAAGTAAGAAATTACATTCCTTGAGATTTCATAAAGATGGGAAAAGGTACAAGAGCATCAGTAGGCTACTGAACATAAGCCAAAACACAGTTATAGGAAGAGTCACATCACCAATAACAAATGTCACAGTGGATGCCTGAAAAAAATTCACTCTTGCAATGAAAAACAAAAGGGATAAGTGTTTCTCACTGGCGTAAGTGGAGCCAGGGGGTGGCCAACCCCAGAATCTGACTGGCCACCCCCTGGTGCCATCCCTGTCAGAGTCAAAATGTGATGCCAGGTGATGTCCCATCAGTGATGTCCCCGGCTGGGACTAAATAAGGAGTGAGAGAAGTTTAAGAAAGCACTATGTGTGTCATATTTACACAATGAACAGTTTGATTCTTAATAATGTTCATTTACTTTGTACATATATTTCCAATGTGCCACCCTTCTGAGTCTGTGGCGCAGTATAGAAGCTTTATTAGAACTCTACCATCTCTTTGCTTTTCAGTTCTATTAAGAAATGTAATGAAATGTCATGATTATTTTAAGGTTTAGCCGAAATAAATCACCTGACACATCTTGGCATTTTCCTTTGCAAAGCTGCACTGTGGTGCACATCGATTCAAAACTGACTAGTATGAGCGTCACAGGGTCCTCTCCTGTCCTCTGAGCTCTGAGGGTTTGAGGATGTGGCGTTGAGCCAGCTGCAGACAATGAATGAATTGATAGTTTAATAAGGAATCACAGATGTAAATGGTTGAAATTCAGATCTGCCAGTACTTTTTAAAACAGAGTTGCTTATGGCATAATTAGTGTCCTACAAATACAGACAAACTTTAATATAGGTGCCTCACATTGTGGACACGTGATTATTGGTTTGCTATGAAGAGAAGTTAAACCCCTAAGAAGGATCAATATAAAATCTGGCTTCAGTTCACTGCTTCACCATCTGTGTCGCCAATTTTCCTCATATCTAAACTGCGTGCACACACAGGTGAGAGTTTACATGCAGCTGCTTACATTCTTATGTAAGTTTGTTTTTATAAATCTGAACCTTTCTGTGCAAAGTGGCATATGTAGAGTTCAAGCACCATTTTGTACATATTCAATGTTTATAAATGAGGTTCCTGAAAGGCCAGGACTACTACAGTGACTGAATAGTGTGGAATGTGAGACATGTAGGTGGGAGAGTGCTGGTATGGGACTG